CCTTTGATCTCAGTCTTGACCACAGATCCCAGTCACAAACAGAGTCTCATTGTGTTAGTACTTTGATGAGTATGCAGACAGTCACTACCACAAATAGCCGTCCTTGCCACGGACCACAGCTAAATTATGGTGCTGTCAGATCTAGGTCACCACTGCTTTGAAATGCAATGCTGTTTCAGTCTTTCCTTTCTTGTCTACAAGAGCCTAGCAGCTATAAACTTGTAGTAACTACAGGTGTCATCTCTTAAAAGTTGATGTGCTTTTCAAGAATCCTTTTTTTCTATTTTTTTTTCTTTTTTTTTCCTGGAGGAAAGGCAGAGTATGATACAAGGAGTGTGCATACGTGTGTGTATGTGTCTGTGTGGGATTTTTCGTACAGTCAAAATGGCAACAACGAACACCCGTGATTTACAACACTTGTATTTCCACAAAAGCAGATTCAGCATTCAGTTGCACAAGGCAAGAATGCAACTGAGGTTCATTTTCTGCCTATTTTCTCTTTGGCTTCACAGCTTCCCTCTTATCTGCCATCTCCTGTCTACACATATACACAAGTTTAACATTAGGCAAGCTGTCCCTGATCCTGCTGCTGAGGAGTGTGATATTATGTCTTCTCTACCCAAAGTGCTGAAGGCTGTTGGGTACAAACGTGTTGCTGATACACTGGCATTTATATCTGCTTTCTGGTTTTATGTGTAGCACTGACTGTAGTGAGGAGCTTGCCGGTGGGCGAAGCGCCAGTCCTCTTGGGAAGGGATAAAATGTTTTGCTCTTACAGCACATGGGCGCTGTGTACAGGCTCCTCTGTGAGACTGCCACAGCTCCTGCTGGTGGTGCTCGTAGGAATATAGAGGGAATTGCCCCAGAGATTGGGGCACTGAGTCACTGAACCTTGGGTGCTTTTAGTAGCTTTTGTGAACGTGATTGAGGTGCACCTGCATCCCCTCAAAGGCGCTGGGAGAATGTTTGTGACACGAGGTTTCCTTTTGGGAATCAATCCAGTTGGCACTCCCCTCCACAACCACATCACTGGAACTTCCACTGGAAGACCAGGGAGCATCAGATTTAAATTCCTTGACATAGAGCCACCCAGTGACACTGGGCGGGTCACAAAGCCTCAGTAGCCAGACAAATCCATGGTGGCCATAAGAGTCGTAAGTAAGGCCGTAAGAGCTATGGATCTCTCCTTCTGAGCCATCTGTAAAATGTTAGCACTTGATTCATTAATGTGGCAAATGTCTGATGTGGGAAAGGAAAAGTATTGTAATAACCTTTGCTTTATGGAGCTACTTGGATGATCTGCAGCTCCAGGAAGGGATTCTTGTATTTCCCCTGCAGCGAAGAATGTCATAACAGAGGCAGAGGAGAGGAGGATGTGTTTCACATCATCTGCTCTGCTGTAGGTAACGGGGAAGCTAACATTTTCAAGGAACTGCTGAAACACAGGACTGATAATAGTAAGAATTAATATTTAATTAAGCTTGGATATCATATTAATCATGTGTATGTATTATGTTTAATATCCATCCATCACACTGTCATACCAGTATGTAATAGATGTTCTTTGTGAGCATAGGAAAACAGCTTTAGCTTGAAAACAGCAGAAATGTAGAATACAAAAATGTCTATATTTCAGGTTTTGACTAAAACTATTGATAATCTTAAAGATATAATTACTTTTTTCTAAGTGAATAAATAGCTGCTTAAATGCCCAAACTATCACATACATCAAATCACCAGCTACTGCAAAAATTCATGTGACTTCAGTGACTTCTGTTAGCATACACAGATTTCTATTATCTGACTCTCTGGACCAGTGAATGGAAATCCTGCTGAACTATGGAAAAGCGGACAATGTGCTTCTTCTGCCTCCCTTGCCATCAGCAAAATTGTCACCCACACTCTGATGGTAGAACCTTGTTACCGATAACGGTGTAGGGCAGGAGGAACTCAGCTCAATTTTCTGAACACAAGGGAAGTCACGGTAGCAGCATTTAGCAAAAAAAATATATATAATCTTTTGACATGTAAGTGGAGGAAAATTGCTGCTGAATCACTGGGAGGGAGGAAATATGAGAGCTTAAGATGTCATTTTTACAGGCATAATTTTTACTCTAATGGTCTTTAATAGCATGTACAAGTCAGTGTAATGCTGTCAGCTGCAGCAGAGATAGAAGTACAGAAATGTAATAACTCAAACTGCTTGGAAGAATTGTTTTCCTGCTGTAGTTAATTAGCAGTGTATCGTGGTTTCCTTTTTCTATTTGTTCATTCAACTTGTGAAATGGTAGCTGGTGTCCTGGCTGCTCTTTCTCGTTTATTTATTGAATTTTTATTTTTGCCCTTTCTGCAAATAAATTTACTCTCTTGTGACTTGCAGTAACTTGCCATCAGGCATGTCACAAGAATCCTTTGACGTCCAGCACTGGGTAGCACTTTCCAGTAGGTGTCTCTCAGATAGCAAACAATTAAATATGCCAGATATATCTCCCTTGCGTTTAGAGTCAGAAGAGCAGTTGCACGTAATGCCAAGGGAAGCACCATCTGTCCTAATAAGCAGTCAAAAACATTACCGAAAATACCTGTTTGAATTCAAAGGTCAGTTTGTTTCCTGGGGGAAGGAAATCTGGAGAGCAGGGGGAAATCCAAGCACAATAAGCTCTAGCAACACAGGACAAGGTTACACAAACACATTGCGGCTGTCATGAGGAGGGTAGTTATCCTGGGAACAAAGAAATATTTATTCTATCATTTGAAATCGTTAAGATACTGAAATCTGACCATGATGGTCCTCATTGTCTGACAGACTCGGAAAAATGTAGTTTGGGAAGGACCTCTGGAGGTTTCTGATCTGTGTTCCTCACAAAACATGGCACAACTTAAACTTAAATCCATCGCCGTGTAATTAGATCACTCAGGGTCCTACCCAGTTGAGTTTTGTGTATCTTTAAGGCTGGACACCCTCACTTGTTCAACTCGTGATCTCATGAAGGAAAGCTCCAGAACTAAGAAAAATCCTGTTTCTGTACATTATTCAGCTTCTGCTTCTTCCTGGTGGGAGGGACATGAGGGCTGCGTTAGAGGGGACAGGAGTCAGAGCCACTGACTGCCGTGGCTGTTAGCATGAGCTCCACAGGAGGAACATTTCACCCAGTGCTCTAAAAGAACAGTTACTGTCAAATATACCATTTCCTTGAAAGTGAAACTTTTCAGAGGAACAGGCTGATTTTCATGCGCACAGGAAACCAGAAGAGAATGTAGAAATGATCAAATTGAAATAGTTGAATGCTTGTTTCAACATTTTTTCCCCTGTGGCATTTTGAATCTTGTTTCAAAGAGACTTAAAAAATGTTTTCTTTTGACACTTTGATATTATTTCAACCCTTTGTGTGGAATATAAAATCTGATTTTATCAAAATAAAGCAATTCAGCTGATTCCACATGACTTTTAAAAAAATGTCTTAAGAAAATTTGGAAATTCTTAGATTTTTATGCCTGTTTCGCACAAAATTTTTAGTTCCCATTCCAATCTTGATGAAATAAATTGTGCACATCAAGGGCATCTCCAATGCATACACATAAACTGTGTGTATGTGTGCATTCACATATGTCTTAATTTAATGTGCTGCAGGCATCTCGGGTTAGTGGTCCAGCTTTAGTGTGTTTGCTAATTTAATGTCTCTAATTCATGCTTCTACTGACCTCATAAAATTGACTTTTATAGGCACTCAGCAGTGAGGCTCTCAGCAGTGAGGCTCTCTCTACGTACACATTATGCCTTAATGTGAGGCCTGGCTCAAAAAAATCTCTGATGGGGGTCGTTCATTCCTTTTATGAATAGTTTTTGAAACTGTCCACTTCTTCAATGCAGTGCTCATATCCTACGGGGCACCACATTGCATAACTTCTGTGCTCACAGAAGAACTGAGAATTTATGGGCACTTCTTGTGTCTCTGGACCCCAGTTCCGTGTGGCAGCAGTGGGGACATCAGTACTGCCCTGTCTCTACAACGTGTGCTGAAATCCAGAACTCTAAAGAGCAAAAACATTTTATTGGGAACCTGAGGCAGTCTGTCAAGTCAGGAGCACCAAAAATCCACACCAGGATGATATGGTTGCGGTTCTGCTTTGCTTATGGGCATCTATTAATTTCAGAGTGAGGAAATTTCCAGTTTTAGGTTTGATACACCTTCCTGATGTAGAAATCTGATAGCAGGTGGGTAGCACAGGGACCAAAGAGACAGAAAAGTTGATTTCATATCTCTTTGAGAAGACATTTTCAGTCCACAGCCAGTTGTTACTTACAGTTGTCGGGAGGAGAAAGGAGAGCACAGGGCACGTCCCCGTGGTGGTGAAAAGACTAGAAGCCCCATGCAGACATTTACTCTCTCCTTGTGGCAGAGGTTAAAGCCCAGCCAGGAAAGAAGCTGATTCCTGGGAGGTAGAAAGGGAGCTTGGTTATGGAACAACACACTTCATTTTACTGACATTTTCACAGCTTTGAAACACTTTGTTAATTTGCAATAACAGCTTTTTCAGTCTTGTCAAAATAAATGTCCGTTGCAGTTAAGAAAACCCCAACATTTACTCAGTTACAGCTAAATGGAAGGAAGGTGGACTCATTTGTCCTGGTAAGGAGGGTGCAGACAGCTTTGTGACTAAGCACCGAGGGAGAGAAGGGCTGAACATGAAGTCCCTCCCTTGCTCTGCGACCTCAGGCAAACCACAGCATTAATCTGTGCCTCTTTTTCCCTAGATGGAAAAGAGAAAATACTGGCTTTCCCCTGCAAGGTACTATGAAACCTTATTTACTCATGGTGTGAAAATATCCTGAGCTCCTTGTGTGAGAGTCAGTCAGTGCAAACAGGCTATAGACTCATTTTTTTCTCTATTTTGAAAGGCAGGAGAAACAAGCTGGAGAAAACGCTTTCCAGTTTTGTTTTGAGAAGACCTGGAACTCTTCTTTGATGATGGTTGTTCTCTTGCTTTTGTCCTTGCAGGTACTATGCTATCTGCTGCCAGCCTCTGGTTTACAGGAACAAGATGACTCCATTGCGCATTGCTGTAATGCTTGGAGGGTGCTGGGTAATCCCAACGTTTATTTCTTTCCTTCCTATCATGCAAGGCTGGAATAGCATTGGCATCATTGATCTGGTGAGTAGCTAAGGAGGTGCACCAACCTGGTGAGATATTCAGTGCTGTACATTCTTTAAAAAGCAATATTCAAATTAAAAAAGGTAAGAATGGCTGAAGGAGAAACTATTGGTATTGATGCAGAGGGGCTGCTGAATTTCTGGAGGATGTTTTTACAGGGGTTTGAAATAACTGTCCTGGAAGGACTGTCACAAAGACAGTGGTGGCTCTGGCAGAGGATTTTACCTGTCTTTACTAATCAGTTCAGTGTGAAGTCCTTTGGAATCATGCCAAGCCCCATCTGGCTCCCGATGGGCACCTTGGGAGTCCTTGGTTCCCCTTGGCCTCTGCAGCTCTCAGGGGCTGCTGGCCAAGCCTGAGGATCTCTCCTTGCCTGCTAGCAATGTTTGGAGTGCTGGGAAACCCAAATTTCCCCAGAAGGGATGATGCTTTGGTCCAGTCCCATCAATATCCCATGTCTTGGTGTGAAGGAGGTGTGGAGGAAAAGCTGAAGTTCCCCCCTGCAAGTCATTTCAGCAGGAGTCAGTTTTCCCCACCACAGTCTGGCTTCACTTGCAGTATCCTGTCTACAGGCATGGAAGTAAGAGCTGCAAATCTGCTCTCCTTTCAGTGTGGAGATGCAGGAATTAAAAAATGGCAAACTGTGAAAACACCTTATTTAGAAGAGCTTGTTTAAAGAGATGTGGTGTCTCCTATGCCAAGTCTCAGTCAATAGAATATGAATAGTTTTTGGCTCATGGAGAATAACAGGTGCTGGCTGCCAAGCCTCTAGACAAGGCAATAAAGCCAAAATTGCTTCCAGACAAGCACCTTTAGGACATGCAGCTGGTAGAAAAGGGAGGTGCATTTTGTTTATTTAACAAACTATGTCAGGTATCTGATTTCTTCCACTGATTTATTGCCCCCACCTTTTCAGAAAAGACTTGACACCCAGCTGACTGTACTGGCTGTTCTTAACACCAGTGCAAGCCTTGCCCTTCCTGGTCCCTTGCTGACGTTCACTGGGCAGATTTCAGTAGCTGCATGTTGGGAGGTAGCGCAGGGTTCAAACACTGCCTAGTGAAAGTGCTTTATAGTTTACTTTAGAGGTAAACTTCCTTACATGCCCAGTTAAATAATTTTGATATTATAGTTTTAAGTAGGAGACCAGGACCCCTTTCTTCATCTGCTCTTTCTGTTTCCATCACAAGTCATTGACCAGCTCTCAGCCTACAGACTCAACCTGCAAATTCCTCCTGTCCAGGCTGCTCCCCACAGCCCCTGTGCCTATAAAGCTCAGTGTCACCCCAGCCTGGAGCCATCCCCAGCTGCTGAGGCCACTGTAGCCCAGTCCCTTTCCTGTCCTTCCCCCGGGTGAAACCTGTGCATCCTTGGTGTAAAACCATGCCCTGAGGAATGGAGCAGTGAGCACTGCAACAAAGCACAGCACAAAGTGACCTTATTTCCCCTCTCTGTGTCTGGCCTGGGGTGTTAGGCTGATTTTCAGTGCCCTGTCGCAGCATGCTTTAAGATGCCGGAGCTGCAAGATGGGCTGGTCCAGCAGACCTGGGGAGCAGCAGGGCTGGAGAGCCCCTGGTGTGAGCACAGGCAGGAGAGGCAGCAGTGGGTAAGGCAGGTACTGTGGATGGGAGAGGGGAGGGAGGAGAGAGAATCAGAAAGCGGTGTGGTACGTTCTGGCAAACAGACTGCTGGTATCGGAGGAGGCAGTGCTGAAGTTCTTCCCTTCTTCTTTGTCCTCATCCTTCTTCTCCCTGCACCAGATTCAGCAAAGGCAGTTCAACAAGGCTTCCAACTCCACCTACTGCATATTCATGGTCAACAAGCCATACGCCATTACCTGCTCCGTGGTGGCCTTCTACTTTCCCTTCCTCCTGATGGTGCTGGCCTACTACCGCATCTACGTCACGGCCAGGGAGCACGCCCGCCAGATCCAGGTGCTGCAGCGCGCGGGGGCCTCCACCGACGGCCGGCAGCACCACCCGGACCAGCACAGCACGCACCGCATGAAGACTGAGACCAAAGCTGCCAAGACCCTGTGCATCATCATGGGGTGCTTCTGCCTGTGCTGGGCCCCCTTCTTTGTCACAAACATAGTGGACCCTTTCATAAACTACACGGTGCCAGGGAAACTGTGGACGGCTTTCCTGTGGCTGGGCTACATCAATTCAGGGTTGAACCCTTTCCTCTACGCCTTCCTGAACAAGTCCTTCAGACGTGCCTTCCTCATCATCCTGTGCTGTGGTGATGAGCGATACCGAAGGCCTTCCATCTTGGGGCAGACGGTTCCCTGTTCCACCACCACAATAAATGGATCGACTCATGTACTAAGGTGAGTGTTTCTCAGATGCTGCAAAATGCCTGGAGTCACTAGAAAGAATACTTCTCTAGAGTTTTCACAAAGTATTGGTTTCGCTTCGCCTTTGAAATGTATGATCAATCAACTGTTGAAAAAGGTGGGGGGGCGGACAAGAGAAGCACTCAGAAATCCTTAGGGTGCTCAGACAACCTGGTTTGTAGATAACAAATATGTGTTGGCACGTGCAGTTTCTCTAGAGATGTGTTCAGGAAAGAGTTGGGAGAACGCAGAAGTCATGTATGCATTTTGGCAAGCCCTGCTTTTTTGTCTAAGGGTAATAACTTGACACCACGGGGAGGACCCTGGGGGAGGCTGCCTACTCCCTCTTCTCTAGCAAAGGGATCATGGCTCCCATTGCCCCCTCTCGGGTTCTGCCTTTGTAGCCCCGCCAGCCACTGCTACATCTTCTGAACTAAGGAAGGACAAAGGATGAGCTTCCCCAAACGCCCTGACCCTGCTGGGGCATTTCAGAGGCTCTCTAGGAGGAGAGGTGCTCACTGTTTTGGTTTAGCAGCTCAGAAAACGGTGGGATGTGTGCCTTTTACTGTAGTGCAGTCAAAGCCTGCCCTTGTGCAAGGCAGCAGCAGCCATCTCTGTGGGAGCCCCAAAGCTGAGCATGCCTCACACGGCTGCAGGACATAGTCCTGGTGGTTGGCAGCTTGGGGTCCCAGTGAATTTGGACCCCACACCTCACCTTTTGCTGAGTACCACAATGTGTTCGTTGCAGGAGGAGAATGTGTGGGCTGTGCTCTGCCGGGGGTTTTGGAGGGCTTCATGGTATGAGACAACCTCTGCTGTCTTCTCCTCACTGAGCGGAGAGGTGGGAGGCAGAGCATGGGAGGAAGGGAGGGAAGAACAATTATCTCCTGTGATATCAGAACAAACTGCAGTCTCTGAAAAAAAACCCCATAGGTGTTTCTATGCAACTGTCTAGAGGAGATTTGGTTCTTTTGGTATATGGATTCATGGCCCTTCACATGCAGATGAGGACTTGGTCACCAAATTTGTGTTCAGAGCTGACCCCATCTTCTGGAGACTAAATCAGACACTGAGTGCCTCCCAACTGAGTCTGATCTGCTGGTTTGCCCCAGGCTCCCTTATGCAATCATCTCTGAAGTTCTGGAAAGAGTCCTGAGCCATATAATGGATGGGAGATGGGGCAGGGCTTGTCACAGCCTTGAGACAGACCTCTCAAGCTTTCTAGGTCATGGAGGTCTTTACAACGTACTTATCTTCTGCTGATTAAAAACTGCTCAGGGGCCACGGTCCCAGAGCCCTCTGGCTGTGATGGATGCGTGGCACTGTGCTGTGCTCAGCCTGTATTTCTATCGGAGCTGTGCTCTGGGGACAAGCCAGATGCTCCTCTGCTGTGGTTTGGGGGACTGAGAGAGCAGCCCTTGCTGGGTGCAGGACACCATCCTGCAGTGAGTGACCCCGTACCTCTGGCTGTGGAGCTGTGGGGGCAAACGCTGCAGATGTCCCTGTGTGTGGAGGGAGGGCTCACTCTAGTCCCTGGTTAACCAGCGGGGGCTCCATGCTCTCACAACTGCACCCGGTGGGTGCAGGGGACAGCCTGGTGGCCTTAAACACAAAGAAAGAGAGAGTGGTGTCTAGTTCGGCTGGTAAGCATAGTGACAAGATGCTTTTTGTTAAGTATACAAGGCAGGGAGACGACAGGGAGCATCTCTTCAGTGTGTGTTGGAGATGTAGAGGGCAGGGAGCACGTCAGCCCAGAAGGTGAATTGCTTCAGTCTGTGCTGACGTTTCACCTCCAGGTGTTGCAGATGGCGATGCCGGTGCCTCCTCATGTCTCCAGGTTGTCTCGCTGCTTTGTCACTAAGTTATCTCTCTGTGAGACCTCATGGTCCTGCTGTGTCCTGTGGGACTGGCAGGCTCCAGCCAGCACTGCCCTGGGGACACTGGACACAGCCCTTCCAAGCTCCAGGAGGGCTGCGCAGCTAGTGGTTTCCTTCATTCTCTGCTGAGTGTCCCTGAGCTGACAAATGCCTCATTTTGAGACTGTTTGTAAAGATATCTATGTCCCTGTAGTGGCCAAAGCAAATGTGAAGAGTCACCTCTCCTCCAAAGCTAGGGCTGGCCATGGTCTTGCCCGCCCCGGCCAGCTGGGGAGGGTCTGGTGGGCTGCAGGAAATCCCACCATGGAGCTGAGATAGATTTCCAGCTTCTCCCTCTCACTTGTACCACATAGAAGTTATCCATGGAAATGTATAACAGTGCTGTCAATCTAGGTGTCACAACCATTGCAAAAGGCCCTGTAAGAACCAAACCCGCACAGGGCATCTTGTCCACTTCTAGCTTTTATGAGTGCTTTTATGGATAGAGCGTGTCGCCTCTCTTCAACGTGCTACATGTGTAAATCAGGTTATCTCCTGCCTTTCCCTATCACTCCAGCTCTGCAGAAGGCACTCGCTTCCAACTGCCGCGTCCCCTCCTCCCCTGGCACGCGGGAGGGATGTGGCTCTGCACATCAGCACTTCACACAGCAATTATTTTCTGTTTTTCCTCAGTTTTGTAACTGATGAGAAAAGCGTGACTTCTTTTCCTGATGCAGATTATGCACCGATGATGATAGAGTTGTGGGGATTAAAGCAAAACCAACTAATTTTAGTCTTTGGATAGTTAAGCTCACTTGAGGGATTTTTATTTCTTCAGTGCTTCTCTCTTAAATGCAAAAAAGGTTGAACTCAGCACGGATGGGAGAGAAATTTAGTGAGACAGGTTCTCTCAAGTTGCAGTGTACATTTGCTTTACTAGCTTGGAAATACGAGAGGATTGTGCCCAGCAGCTGAAATATTGAGACCTTCCTGTATGGGTTGGCTTCACACCAGCCCAACTGAGAAGCTGCGTAGGGGCTGGACCTGTTTCACACACTTCTTTTCCAACCTCAAAGTTGTTTCTTCCTGACCAAGAGCTTCTGCAAATGGGGAAGTTGTGCAAGTGGGATTTTACATCTGCATTTTGTACCCTGGCAGGGAGAGCAGTGATGAGAAGGACAGACCTTGTGCTGAATTTAGGGCATAGTTCTTCCCTCAAAACCACAGAGATTTGCAGTTTTGTATTGAGCTGACATGAGTCATTTAGCTTCAAAGGGAGTCAGGAGTGGTTGGCAGTAGGACTGGGTTTTCTAACTCCTCTCTACTTCCAATCTTGAGACCATCTGAACTTTCCTTCAGCTCTACCTGTCCAAACCCCTCTGTCTTTGCTCACACTCATCTCTCTGGTGCGTTTGCACGTGCAGAGGACATGTTTGTCACGGTGAAATCCAGGCTCTTGCTCTTGGATGCGTCTGACTTGTGACAGTGCCTTGCAGGGAGGGAAGGCATTTCTTCTTTTTTTCTTCTGACAACTTTAGTGTCAAAATATTCTGACATTCCCGTTCTGGGATTTTTCACGTTTATATTAGGAATGGGAAAAAAAGAAGAAGGAAGAGCAGAGTGCGATAAGACACTGCAGTGAGAAGAGGCAGACGCCCTCACCACACGCAGACTGAGAGACCGCTGGGGAGACAGTTCTCACTCTTTCTTTCATTTATTTTAATTTATTTTCCAACTGATCTGTGAAGACGGTGGTGCTCTGGGTGACCCAGGCAGGGAGAGACTTTTTCCAACACACCTGGGGTCAGACTGTACCGTGGCTCAGCTGCTTTCCTATGATGTGAGGGTGACCACAGCTTACTTAATCCCCTGGAAACCACCCCACTTTATCCCTAAATTATGAACCAGAAGATGGGGAAAGGATTTCCTGGCACCCATTCCTTGGGTGGGGTAACTGTAGTGCAAAACATGTTTTGAAGATGTCATGAACAGCCAGGAGACAGGTTTCGGTTAGAGCTGAATCTATGTGTACAATGGGAGAGTGTTAGAATTAAATATTCAGCTTTGAAAGAAAATTTTTATTTGCCTGTTTTCCAAGTTTGTTTTTTGCAAGTGTTGGAATTGCCAGAAACCCTTTTTTTCACCCCTGGATATTCACCTATTTTGATTCTGTTGTGTACCATCAACGGCAAAATTCAGGCAGGACACATGCAAATGGTGGATTGAAATCTGCAGGTGTGGCTACAATCTGAAATTCATGCCCTATTCGTTTTTCAATGGCTGAGATTGCAACTCACACGTCATATATAAAGGTTTGTTTCTCTGGTTGCAGCACAAATTGTGTAATTCATTATAAATATTTGCAATTCATAGTTCTATATGGTTTGGAATGTCATTCATTGAAAGGACTTGGGAATCATTCTGAATAATGAGTGGATCAGAGGATTTACAATGAGCACTCAATGAACGTATGGCAAAAATTAGTACAATAATTAGCTGCAATAGATATGGGTTTCTGGATGGCTGTAGCATGTGTTCAGGAGTTCTGTGCACCACGAGACTGAAAGCAAAATGCCATAATAATCTGAAAAATGATGTCTTCCCCTTTAAACATAGTGCTTGCATATCTTTTGTTATGCATAGATATTTATTCAACACAAAACAACAAACTCAAGCCCTCATGAATAATTAAAGTCTCGTACTGCACAAGTGGATGGGAACCCAGATCAGCATTGCCTGAATTCTTGCATAAAACAAGTTCTGAAATTTTGCCACAGTGAAGAGGATGACTTTGGGTAAAAGATCATTGAGCAGTGATCAAAGTAGACAAACTCTGAAACATCTGGGTCAAGGCTTTGGTATATTCCCCATTTCCTCTCAGAAGTGCACTGTTCAGCACAGTAGTCTCTTCAGGGAAAGCTATAGTGAGCGGTTTATTTACTCATTTTCCATCATAGAGAGGTCTTCTCAGAAAGGGCTGATGCCAATTTTACTTCTCCAAAGTAAAACACATTCTGATTTCCTCTTAGAAGAGCCAAGAGAAACATAGTGGGGAAAAAAAGAAGCATGCAGCTTGGGGGGCTGGAAGTTCATCATCCTCATAAATGCGTAATTAAATAAATAACCCAATCAGCTCAC